GTACAGGACACATCAACACTTCATTAGAACTGCACCTAAAGATTACTTTATAATATTTCAATATTTTATTCAATTATCAGCCGTTACAGTGACACATAAAGCACATCAGAATAATGAGTGGCATAATTTAAAATGTGTCCAATTTCCTAATCACTGCTGTGATATGATATTATTAACAACATCAATAATAGACTATTTGTCAGATGCTAGATCAGAAAAATATTAGAACTCAAATTCAAAAAGGGGAGCGGTCGTCTTATGTGCATATGTTTGTTCACTCGCACAGACTTCACTCAGTAAAAACTTGGTACCCTATTACGTTATACATCACAGACCAGGTAAAGCAACAGTAGACACTAGAGTGCAGATGTTGGTTTTGGTTGTTTCATAGGAAAATTAGGGAAAAAAGACGAGTTCTGTGTCTTTTAGGCAACTTTATAAAACAGGGAGAGGCGGGGCAAACCGGTGTGTGTGCAGTGAGACACTGCAGGTGTAGCTGTATGTGTGTGACTGTGTCTGAGTCTGAGGAGAAGAGAATTCCGAGGCAGGTGCAAAGCAGGTATAGCCCTTTAAAAATAATAATAATAATAATAATAATAATAATATTCGTGGGGATTAAAGCCTGCTTTCACAGGGTGGTATAATCACGATGCCGGCTCAACGTCGTGGTGTCTGTCAGCCATCGATGATGGCATCGTCTGTGCCGGCGCACGTTACGCAAATCGCCGTATTTTCGGAATCGAGGACATCCATTGCGTAGATGAATCGCCCCATCCCTGTACATACAGTGTTTTTCCTAAAGCTCAAAAAGGTTCAAGTTATCTAACATTAGGACTTTCTCCGAAATTAAAGGCAATTTACAATAACACTACGATACATCATTTACTTGACCATTACAATCTACATTACAGATGCCATACCATCCTAACTGTGCTACATGTTCTTATTTTTGGTTGTTTCAAAAAAATCTTTAGAGCTTGCCAGCGGACACTGGAAAAAACAGTATCTGAGATATGTCCAAAACTGGGTAATGAGCGTGCACGAGAAGTGTGCATAATTTAGTTGTAGTGTGGCACAGTGTAGCTGACAATCGTGCATATGTTAGCAGAGTACATGCTCTCAACAAAATATGCAAAAGAATTCTGGCTAGAGTAGAAATCTGTTCTTGTTCAACTGAAAACCTGTACAACATAAAAAACGACCAGCAACATCTGGTGAGAGGTCTGGTTGTCTGGACTTACAAGTGTCTGTTGCATATCTAATGTGCTCCCCATTGCAGGTACTGATGAAGAGCTGGACTTGGGAGAAGAGCGTCTCAAAGTCAGGGATGTTTGGCATGGAGAACTTCACAAATCTGGAATTAAGAGTAAGAGGTTAGCAAAGTGAAACAAGGAGAGCTTGACAGAGGCCTTAAAGATTAACTAGTAATGACACTAACACTTTGTTATGTGGGATGAAAAAGCAAAATTGGATGGTTTAGTTGTTAGGTCATTTCCATATGCAAAGGGATGTAAAGTCTTTCCATATGAAAAAAATACTGCACAGGTAAAATGATTTCCATAACTTGATTTTTTCAGGTTCGTGATGCTGAAGTCAACTCATAAAAATTGGATTTTAGACCATGCACAATCAAACTCTATGACTTAAACATAATTTTTACAGCTGTTTAAAATTCAGCACTGGCATTTCTTGATTTACTTAATGATAAGACATAATCACTTGCTTTGCTACAATACAAATGATTTAATGCTTACATTATTAGTTGTACATGCAACAGGTAGCCTTTAGCTGCTTTGTGACTACATCAGATTTGCTATGCTACATGCAACAGGCCGACTATAATAATATAAAAACATCATAATACTAAGAAGGAATTGGCACCCTTTAAATAACATGCAAATACTGGATCATTTATGTGATTTATTTATATCAAACTCACATAAAAACTCTGGCGCCAAAGTCATGTGCACCATTTTCTACTTTTAAACTACTTTTCTCAAAAGTCCCACCACCTTTACCGTATTCACCACAAAATGTAAACATCACGTTCAACAAACAAAACAATAACAGAATCTCTTGGCCCAGTTCAGAAACAAAAACATGAAGCAGAAGCAAGTAGCAAAATGAAGGCAGGAGAGCAGAGAAACACACGACTGGACAGAACTGAACACAAAGGCAAACAAGACAGCAGCGGACATCACTAGAGACTGAGGAAGAGTTCTTAACTGGTGCTAACTACACTGATGGTGGCAAAACTGTAAAGAATAAGGAAAGGGGGGCTACTTACAGCACAGCCAGCACGCCTAGGGAGTGCTCCTGGATGTCCAAGGCCCCCAGCACCGTGTCCAGGTGGGACAGATTTTTGGCCAGCAGCTCCCCACTCTTGTTGATCAGCTCACACAGCTGAGTCATCTGGCCTGGAGGGGTAGGAGGCAGGAGAACAGAGAAGAAAGTAAACCACTTTGGCCAGTCTCACATGCCCTTTTGATAATTGGAAAAAAACACATCTCTCATATTTAAGGCAGTTTACATTGCAATACTAGATTCAAATTTTAGAAATCACTGCCTTGAGGCATGCCCCCCGTTTCATAAAATTAGGTTGTTAAACAGGATTTAATGTCATTAAATTTCAGCTTCCAAATGCCTTGCAAGACACACGGACAAAAGATGTGACTGCACTGGTTGCCAAAACTAAAAATGTTATTATAACATGCCCGCTTTACGGTCATTGTAAAGTTTAATCCACAACCAAATTAGAGTGCAGTACTTTTTTACAAGTATGCAGAGGCATGTTCTTCATGTTCTTCTTTAAAGGGGTCAAATTATTATTAAAGAAAATTATTTTTATTTTAAAATTTTCTTGTCTATGATTGCCAAAAGGCTATTCTTCACAAATGTAGACAAATGTAAAAAACAAACAGACTTACAAAACTGTTTATAATTATCACGTTGAGGCTGAGTATTTAAATATAAATCGGCCGGTCAAGTGTCCTGTCAAGGCCTTGCAACAGAGGTAATGCAAGTGTGATTGACAGATGACTTTGAACCAATAACAATCGCTAATTCAGTTTGTCAGCCAATCATGTGGGGCCGGGGCGGGACTACCGGTAGGCAATCCCCAGAAATTATTTTCTAGATCAAAAACAAAAAGTATAATTCTGACATTTTGTTTGATGGGCTACCTAGTTCGCGATTATCCTTGGCGTCCCCGTGTACTAACGCACCTTATGGTGATACTTTACAGAACTCTCGCAGTCAGAAAAAGTCATTTTTGCGGTGTGTTTACATGATAAAGCAGAAAGAGGGCTCTGACCAGTTTGGCTTCCTAGCTATCGGCAAGGCATTGGATAGCATATGCTAGCTACCTAGCTAATACCTCCCATTCGAATGAGTTTAGCATCCCTACCTTGAGCGGAGAGCTGCCGCACATTGTTCACAAACTGCTCCAAGGCTGAAGCCATTATTTCCTGGGTCCAAAGTGGAGGTAATTAGCACTGTATTTCATTCAAACGTCAGAAACAACTCCGTCCGGACTGAGACAGGGGGCCACACAGCCGCCACTGAGGAGAAACTGTCGCGAGATCATAAGAACAGAGCAGCCTGGAACGAGTTTACGGACCGACCGTTGAATTCTTAAAGGGCCAGACGCACGATTTGCTTAAAGTATTTGTAACTTTGATTGTCATTATTTCCACTATGTTATTTTTATTAGGAAATTGTAACTTATTGTGCTTGTCTTATATGTTAGGGGACTACAGTTGTCTATTTTAGACTGCAGTGTCAGTTCTCCCTTTAAGGAAAAAACAGAAATACAGGAACTGACGCGCAATCTACTGGGTTTTCGACAAAGATGCTATAACATGGAAGAGCTCCTGTCTGAGTTTATAGCATCCATTTATTATAGACTGAATATAGACAAGACACCAAAGTTTCTTGTAAAAAATTCAGCTATTTTTGTAAATATTTTGGTTGTGACTGTTTTTGTGTTTTCCGATGAAATATATAACATAACACTTATGTTTTGTTAAGAACTGAGAACTGGTTAAATGTAAGGTTGTTCTTCCCACAAGCCATCACTCTGATGAACAGCTGATTTCTGACTCACAGTGTCAGGAACAATTCCTGTGCAATAACCCAGTAACTCTGTCTCTAATCAGCACCTGTTTACTGGTTTCCACTTATTATTTATTTATTCACCATTCTCTATTTCAGTGCTGTTCTTACTATGTTCATACTATGTCATATTGTATATACTGTATACCAACACACCTACCTCAGGTCATAGGTCTTATTTATTTTTTCCAGCATCCTTTTGCACTATGCTCCATCACACTGTACATGTGTACATGTATGTGTACCTGTATATCATATCCACCTTCAACATGTACATAATGACAATAGTTTACTCTTGCATCCTTTGCACTCTAATTACTGCACTATTTGTCAATATGTCTATATTGTTTTGTTCATAGTGTGTATATTAGTGTTGTCTACTCTGTAGTTTGTCTGATTTTATTTTATTATATTATTATTTTATTATTGTATAAGTAAGCACATCATGAGCAATGTACAATCCTGGGTCAAATTCCTCATATGTGTACCAGTACCTGGCAATAAAACTGATTCTGATTCTGATTGTCCATCCATCCATCATTTTGGAGTTCCCTGATTTTACAGTTAACAATTGAGAAAATCAAATATATTAATGAGATGCCCTGATACCTAATTTAAATTAAGTAGATAATACGCCTTAAAGGCACATGTGCTGGTGACTTGAAGCTGTTGCTATTTTTGTTTGTTACAGTGTGGAATGGAAGTCTATTAAACATTGGTTCATTACCCTTATACACTTGATTTTAATTATGTTATGAAATTGTATGTTCAACTAATGGATTCCGGAAAACGGTTCACTGCATATTGTGACTGTGCATGGCTGTCACGCATTGTCAACAGAGGAGTGAGCCATCTCGTTCTTCTAACATATCTTTGCTGCAAGCAGGCTTGTCGTACAGTTTGTTCTAGCTGCTGAGCTTTTCTTCCCTTGGTGCTGCGGTACCAGTTATGTTAGGCGACTACTCGTTTCAGTTCAGGTTGCTCCAGCAGCCACTGTTCAGATGCTGTGGGTTTGAGAAAGGCTGTGGGGTAGCTGCCGGGAAGTTAAAACACACTGACAAACGATGCAAACAGCTCCCAGTAACACTGTAGCCAAAGGCATGTTACATTTGACCTGACTGCTGCTGTTCGAGTAGCCTGTCGGCTAACGTTAGCGACCGTTAGCTCAACCGCAGCTGGCTAGCAGAAAGACGCTCAGAATGATAAAGTAAAGCCAGCAGTGAAACAAAATTTCACGAAAGGACAAATAACAACACGACCAATGCTAGGTGCTAATAACAACACGGTTTAACTACCACATAATTTGGAAAACTTTTCGACTCCCATGCGGACTTTTCCACTGTTTGCACTCGTCGGTTGGAGAGGGTTAACGGTAACTGTTGGTGACAGCTGTCGGTACTGCTGCAGCCATCTGTCAATAGTCAACTATGTTTTTACTGTCCAGGACAACACGCCTACTCGGAAGAGGGAAAACATTGCTACGTGATCCGTTTAAGAGGATTTGCGTAAACATGTCGTCCTCCTCTGCCCCGGGTAAGAGACTAAGGGTTCTGGTTGACATGGACGGGGTGCTGGCGGACTTCGAGGGGGGGTTCCTCAAGAAGTACCGGGCCAGGTATCCGGACGAGCCCTACATCACCCTGGATGACCGAAGAGGGTTTTGGGTGTCAACGCAGTACGGGCAGCTGAGGAGTGACCTGTGTGTAAGTGAGCTATTGAAAATCACAATTTGCAGTCTTACACAGAACCATTTTCCCGGGTCCCCACACAAATAATTTCATTGATCAGAATTTAATGAACAATATATTACAGACTGTTTAAAAATAACTACAGGTCTCACTGTAGCGTTTGCAGTTGAGGTTTGATATTAACCAACATGAAATATTGCTGGTTCCTCAGACAGAAACATTATTTAATGGGCTATATAGATGAGCAGTTCTTTGAAATAAGCAGGGCCTATACTCCCACCCAGTGTCCCATGCATGCATTTGAGTGATGACCAGTTCAACCACAATATATATTTTGTTTATGAATTTCATCTGACTGGACAGAAAGGCCTGAGGAGTAGCCAGTATCTTAATCAGCAAAATTCAGAGGTGATAAGAGCATATTAGAGGTGTTTTTATTTACAGTGTTTTAAGACCCACTGAGATAGTGTTCATAGTCAAGTGTATGAATGTCACATGAATTTGAAGGGTTTTTTTCTGTGGAAAAAACGTATTTTCTGGATTTTGCACTAGTGACAAAGCAGAAACTAAACTAATTAATTAACAACAGACTATTTAAAGCTTTTATTTTAATAAATTGGATTTTGCACTAGTATCTTACTGGTGTTTACATGTCTGCTAATCCTGCACAAGTTGGTGAGGCATAGATGTATCCTAAATTATGATCCCGCACACTGTTATAGTACAGCCAATCCATCTGACAATGCAAAAATTCCCTAATCACATTGGCTTGTCAAATTGATGTTATATAACGCAAATAAAATATGTCAGGGAATTGTAAATTAGGTCAAAGGTAAAGAAACATGAGCACAAAAGAAGAAATGGACCGCAAAGATGTTTTTCGTAGTTCCTCCTGCTTTATTTTGTTATTGAAATATTCAAGAAAGCTGTACATTCTCAGTCACAATTCAGCTGTTCTTGTCCTCCAGAGTGTCTAGCTGACCTTGAAAAAGTTGACTTTTGGACATTCCTCCTTCAGAGCACGTGTACACTCACGTGCCGTGAATACACATATACGGTGGCTATGAAAAGTCCCACACACTCTTATGTAATTGTAGGTTTCTGAAATATTAAGACGTAAATGTCAGACTTGTTCCATCTTTAATGTGATCATCCAACAAGCAGAAATTCAGAGGAAAAAAAACAAATAGTTAATTATGAGGGGGAAAAAACTGCTTGCACAAGTCTGCACACCTATCCAAATAATGGTATTGCTGGCCATGTGCTCTGTATTTATTACAGCAGAAAGTCTTACGGATAAGGATTGGCTTATGCTCAAGGGCCCGCCAACACGGACTGAATTTGGAAAATCAGCCTCTTATTGAAAAATGAAGACTCTGTTAAACTTGTACATCTAGACTTTGGAATTTTATCCCACTCTTCTTTGCAAAAAAGTTAAAGTTCCTTCAGTTTGTGAGGTGCTCGCCTGTGTACAGCTCTCTTTGTAGGTCATTCCACATGTTTCCGATGGGACTGAGTTCGGGGATCTTGCCTGGGCCATTCCAATACTGTGATTTTCCTTTTCTGAAGCCATGCCTTGGATGTGTGCTTTGGGTCACTGTCATGTTGGAATGTGCAATTCCTCTTCAGCGTCAGCTTTCTGACAGAGGCCAGCAGGTTTTGTGGCAAAATATCTTGACATTTGGAACTAGTTGTCAATGTCCTGTCTATCTTGACAAGAGCCCTGACCCAGCTGAAGAGAAGCAGCCCCAAAACATGGTGCTACCACCACCACGCTTCAGAGTCGGTCTTCTTAGCCTCCTTCAGAAGTTTTCTCCCGTCCTTACATCATTTTGGAGGCTCGTCCAAAATGATTATTATGAATGGGGTGTTGTAGTTTTTATTTTATTTATTTTATTTAAAATGGTCCTAATGATTAACTCTTTGTTATTTTCCTCTTTGTTTTCCATTTGTTGGAAGATCACATTAAAGACGGAACAAGTCTGGCATTCAGGTTGTTGTTGTTGTGATGTTGACATTTCAAAAACTATTTCACAAGGGTGTGTAGATTTTTACAGATTTAGATGTACTCCTTATCAATGTACACTGATAGTAAGCTGCTTGTGTTTTTTGTTTATTTTATTCCAGGAAAAAGCCATCAGTATCTGGGAGTCCAAGGACTTTTTCGTAGAACTGGATCCGCTGCCAGGAGGAGTGGAGGCGGTCAAGGAGATGGCCAAGCTAGATAAGTAAGTTTTGAAGTCCACTCATGCAGTCCACTCATCTGATGCATAAACTAATTTGGTTGCTGCTGATATAATAATCACATGCAACATAGACAGGTTTCTGAGCAACATTTATGGTAGTTTAATGAATATTGCAAATGTGTGGTAGCCTCTATGATCGGTACCTGTGGGTGTCCAGTGTGACGTGCAGTTCCGGTGTGTGATGTGGTGACGGCAAACAGACATGCAGACTGTGATGGATGGGAAATGTGTCACATTGCCATCATTATAGAAAAATAAAAGCCTGCAACCACAGTCGCTATAGGAGTTATAAGAGACATTGATGGAGAGGCGTAGAGTTCTGTTCATCCCAACAATTATAACACTGAGAAACCTCGGCTGATAGTGATGCACGAGTCAGGGCGGGTTTGTGTAAGCTTACTGGAAAATGTCGTGGGTTCGGATGGGTGGGGCAGTGAGCGCGCTTACAGTTGAGTTGGTTGTGGGCTTGAAGCACATAGAAATTGTTGAAATCCTGGAGCTGTATGTCTTTAATGAAGGGTTACTGTGTTGCTGCTATTCAACAGGGCAGTGCGGATTGGGTCTCACAACAGGTTGGGTGGGTGCGTGTCATGGAAATAAAGTGAGCCAGTTTCAGGTGTGATGAAGAAATTTCGGAGGCTGATGAAGACTTACACAGCATTTGTTTATTGAGCCTGGCCGAGGAGATGCAGGGCATCCAACATCTGATCACATGTAATGCCAACACTAAATCTGAATAATACTTCATGTTTAAGGATTTTTATCCTTCCCAGAGATTCGCTAAGTGTCCAAATAAGGTTATTGTTCACTCCTTTATACATGTGTGAAGCCTCTATCTTATATTTGTTCAAATCAAGACACTGCGCTTACCTAAGTTAATCTTATGTCTCGTTGTGTGTCATTCAAGCCACATGCAACACTTTCTGCTTCGAGCCAGTCAGTCTGTCTGTAAGGAAACAAAATAAAGATAATCTCGACCTTGGGTTACCTAACCAATGGAAAACAGTGCATCCTTATCAAGACAGCTGCGTCAGTCAGTCGACTAAGCAGGCAGAAAGGACAAAGGAGTCTGACCTACTGTTTTGGAGAGTCACTAGCTGTCTCCTTTGGCTTACTTTAGCTCAGAAATTGACCTGGGAGAAACCTGTGTCATAGTACCCCTAAATTCCTTGACAGTTCGGGTATTAAAAAACCCTGACTCCCGCATCGGTACGGGTCAGATTTAAAGATGGTAAATGTTGGATCTGATGAGCTCTGTAAGTTTTTCAAAGCTAATGCCTGGCAAATACTAATTTGGGCTGGGATTCCCTGTAGAACCAGCTTTTGGTGCCCTGCACTGTAGATGCTTTGGTGACAGCATCCTCTAACCCGCATCTGTAGTGAGACAATTCATGTCACTACATTCATTCATTCAAGTGAAATCTAGAGTCAATATATGGGAGGCTGTGCCATTGCCATTTCCAGTAGCATTCTCAGAAACCCACAACAGTGGAATAACGTCTAAAAATAGCTGTCATATAGTTATGAAACTGTATGTTTACATTTCCTCTCATGGTGGAAATGAATGGCTTGCCTTAACCGCCAGCGCCTGAATAACCTTTTCTTATCAGGGAAATCTGCCATATGGTCTGATCTCATAATAAACAGCTAGGATATAAAAATGTTTGTATGTTTTTAATTTTTCCACTCTGGTCCTGTTGTTTTCCCTTTCTTTCTGCAGCACAGATGTCTTTATTTGTACCAGCCCTATAAAGCATTACAAACACTGCCCATATGAGAAGGTAAGCCCTGTGTCAATCAACAACATCAATTCAGTTCCCTTTTGAAATGACTACTGTGTTTCCTTTTTTTAATTAGATCTCATCTGCTGTGTGTGTGTGTGTGTGTGTGTGTGTGTGTCTAGTATGCATGGGTAGAGAATCATTTGGGTCATGACTTTCTGGAGCAGGTCATCCTGACCAGAGACAAGACAGTAATCACCGGAGACATACTCATCGATGACAAGCCTGACATTCTAGGTGAGGATTGGAAACACGTGAGCATTTAAATGCCTGCTAATTGACATTTTAATTTAGTCAATAAGTAACAGACCTTCTGAACTACATTGATATTTATTGTTATTTTATATTGATAATAATGACAGTGCAGCTCCCAGAGCAATAACAGACCAGCTAATTAAGCTAAAGTTAGCTCCATTATAGTGCTGAACAGTTACTCGCATTCTTATTGAATTTGCAATATGGCCAATTGCAATTTTCAAATTGCAGAAGCCATATGTGTTAAAAGGCAAAATGGATGTCAAAATACCATTTTAAAGGAGATAATATTGTGCTGCAGAGATGTCCCGGCCAATAAAATAAATAAAATAAAAATTGTTCTTTGTTTTATCATAACTCTATCAGGCTCATATATTCAAACATTATGTTTTATTTTTAATCAAAAGAAAAGGGCTTTTAAGATGAGAACTAATCAATGCCTCTGGTGCAGTATAAATTTGCCCAAATCCAATAAAGAGCTAATGCTAATGTTAGCCTAAACTCTAATAGCATCCAGGACCAGCTTCCACACAGTGGGGAAATACCACACCGTAGATGTGCTATCTAGTGATGCACAATATATTGACTCACATTGCGCAATATCATACTGAAACAGAACGTATGCAATATTCCATTTAATTTGCAGACAGATGCATCCGTTGGGTGTGTGGCTTAGCTGAGTCCAATTTAGAGCCCACTTGAAATAAAAACTTATGTTTCATTGGCCAGTTGCCCTATCATATGAAAGTGTGAGCAAATAGGTCCACTACACAAGCATACGCTACGGAGCATGTCATGTGACGGGTGTTTGCATACTTTGACAACGTGTGAGTGAACGGAGAGAGAAAAAAAGAAAAGCGAGTCAGAGGAGCGACAGAAAAGTAAGAAGATAGTGTGGCTCAGGGAAACAACGAAACAGCAGAGATAAAAGGGGAAACCTATCAGAAACAAGGCCCAAAAACATGTATTGTAACATACATTTTACATGTATTTAAGAATATCGAAATAAAAATCATTATCTCAATATTCCTCATCAAAATCGCAACATCACATTTTGTCAATATCTTGCACCCCTAGTGCTCAATCATGAACAGGGCTGTTTGTAAATGTAACCTGTTACACACAGGTAGTTAATGATGTTTATTAGTCTTGGAAGTAACGCTCGGTTACTGCTGTAGGTAGTAAACTAGTTAACAGGAAATGTTAACAATTGCACCTTAAGTTAGACAGACACACTTTTTATACCATTCCTTACACTTTTTCTCAAATTTTTGGTTTTGTAAAGGCTAAAAAAAATGACACGGCCCTTGAAACACTTTCTAGTCTGAGTAGTGGTCTCACTACAGGCACCTGTGCACAGAAATCCACAGCTCGACAGACCTGCGCGCCTGATTACGGTCAGTAAACTTATTATTATTATTATAAACTGTGAATGGACAGTCGTAGTTCCGGGAGAGGTTTAGCGAACAGAAATACAATATTGCAAGTTCTCTGATCTGAAAAATCGCAGTTGAGCTCTTTTCCTTGACTGAGTTTTAATAACTGAAATGGCATACTGACAAGGATCACTGACTGACAAAAAAGTAGTGACATAACAATCAAGATGTAAAGAAATGATCAGCATTCACCATGCATGAAAGTGTGTTTTAAAGATTAAAAGGAAGCCGGAATGGAAAAAAACATGAAATGATAAGGAGTGCATAATCCTGTTAGTGTGGTGGCATGTGAGTCAGTGCCTCATTTGCGCTTTATAAGAGTCTTTTGGGTTGCCTAAAGCCGTGGTTTGTACGGTTTGTACTCCTCCGCAGTGAAATATGTGTGGTTGTCGCTTATGTAATGTTTGTGCCTTAATGTGTCTTCTGATCAGGTGTGGAGCCCAAACCAACGTGGGAGCACATCCTGTTCACTGCCTGCCACAACAAACATCTCCCCATCAGCCCCTCCCAGAGGCGACTCCTTTCTTGGTCGGACGACTGGAAGGCCATTCTGGATAGCAAACGGCAGTGAGGGACTCCTTCGCCTACGAGTCCGACATCACCACCACACAGAGGGATCGCTGTGGTGCCGTGGCAATGCCAGAAATCACTACTGAAAAGAGGGAAGGTAAAATTCTAAGAGGGAAGTGATCAGCCAAATAAAGATAATTTAGAGTTTGGATGTTTTACACAAAGCAGACACTTGCAAAGATTGTTGCACTCTGTTGGAAGAAGACATTCACTTGTTTGACCACAAGGGGGCACAATGAGACTGAGTGTGAAGTGGAGTTGACAACCACATATCCACCAATTTCACTGAAACAACTGTGACAACAAAAAGGTTGAAGGTGAGGACAAAATTATTTTTTAAGTCTCAAAGGGCAGACTGAACTTGGTAGCTGCTCTGTGTCTGCATACTGTATGTTTTTTGGGGTTCTTATTTCGGACATTTCTCTTCAAATAGAAACTAATTTTATTTTTGAGCCACTGGAGCGGGTTATCTGTGGTATTCTTCACCAAAGGCTTATCAGTAGGTGACAGCATTGTCTTCTATTAATGAGTCAGTGAGCCGATATTCACTCACAACAGTGAGGCACTCCACTACACATTGAAATGTACAAAAAAAATCTCCTTGAGCTGTAGGCACTGGCCAGTATATGGAATACAGAAACATAGGAACAAGACCTGGACTTAAAAACACTGTAACTGTTATATCTTGGGTCACAGAGTACCACTGGCATGTAAATGTAAATGCAAGTATACATGTACGGAGATACCTCTTAAGGTTTTAAAGAGCCGATAGTTTAATATTGGTGCTTCATTTTATTTAATTTTTTAAACTTATTTCCTGTTTCACAGTGATGTATGCATCTTAAGTAATACACAGATGAGAAACGTATATAATTACACACACATATGCATGTGCCAAACCCATCAGTAATGTTGAATACATTAGATTAACAGTCACAGTCAATGTGTGCTGAATACGTTTAAAATATTAAAGGAGGAAAAGATGGCAAGATGTTTATTTGAATACAAGAAAATGAACACAAGACTGATTTCTACATGTAAGAATGAATTAAAAAACAAACACAGAGATATGATTTATATTGTTAGATACTTCTTGTTTTTTACATGGTAGTGAAACAATTTTCAACTTACCATATTTTATAATTTTCTCATAATTTGCTTATTGTAAATACCCTGAAATTAGAAAGTAATATTACAGAATTACTCGAAATGTCAAAAATCAATTCACAGCCTTAGCACCGGTTTTAAGTAATGGTTATGAATGATCTATGCTGATCTCTGTAATTGCTGGTAAAATGTGCTGTGAAAAACGTGTCAGTTCACTTGTATCTATTCATGACTTTTTAACTTTTTTTTTCTGTTTTTAGCTTGTTTACATAAGCAGGGTTTTGGGTTAAAGAAATCCTGACTGGCATAGTACCTCCACAACACAACACAATGTATTTGTATATTATTTTAGCATGTCATTTGTGATTTGAAAATACATTTTGACTGAAAAGATTGTATATCCACTTTTTATGCCGTTGAGTCACGAGCCACAAAACTGCATTTGTCCTTTTCAGCCAAGAACTGCAAAACTCTTCATCACTGTCTTCTGTATGAGGTGTATTTAGCAGGCGCATATTTAAGAGAAGAGCTTTCTTCCTGTCAGGATTTGCATTGTTCTGCTTCACAGTTAATTAAGACACACTGTAAGTACTGCATTTGAATCGATTTAGGCAATTTCTGGCAGGCTAGTTATGAATTTTCTGCTGTTGATACGATGGATGCTGAACATGTGTTCTCGAAGATGTGCTGAGGGCTGTTGTGCTGTGTCTTGTTTATAAAATCAAACGTCCACCTCGCTTAAAACGCACACAAAGAGAAAAGCAGAAGTAGGATAGAGGCATTATCAATGGTGCTCTTTTTGGTGTAATTAAAGGTGCATTTAATTTTCTTTTGTTTGTCAAGTTTTTTTATACTTTGCTCATTTAGACCCACGCTGCCAAAAGTCACATGAATAACTTTTGAAAAGTGTGGAAACTTTGTCCTGGTTTGACATTGTGGCAGTATGGGACTGCTTAACTAAACATGATGAAAGCTTTGTGTTTTTTGTTGTAATTTCCTCTCTCCGCTGATCATATCAGTTTAGAACACACGAAGAAACAGCTGAATATGAATATTAGTCTAGACTGCAGTCGGCCCTCAGTCCATTTAATTATGACTGACTACATTTTCATTCCTTATGAAACTCACTACAGCTCTTGTAGCAGAGCATGAAAAGCTGGACCTGTAGCAGTCAAAGGTCAAAGATTACACTAAAGAATGCTTTTAAAAGAGTAGGGGAAGAAATGAAAAATACGACGCAAAGGAATACTTATTTCGATTCAGTGTCAGGGAGGGAACTGGAGCTTACCCAGCATACCTTGGGTAAAAGGCAGGGAAATTCCCAAGACAAGTTGTCACTCCGTGGTGGGACTTACACCCAGAGAGACAACATATTCACATTCATAATTGTTTTCACTTCACATTGGGATGTGGGAGGAAACCGGCGGTCCCGGGAAACCCAGAGAAGAAATTATGAACCCCACGCAGAAAGAAGCCCGGCCAAGGTTGCTGTCAAGATACACACACCAAAAAAAGTCTAGCACCCAGTTAGGGCTGGGCAATATGGCCAAAAATATATATATATATATAAATATATATAAATATTTCATATAATTCGATATCAATAATGATAAAATGTCAAATCATTATTTCTTTCAAGATTGAAGGTTGATTTTTACACAGTGAAAGTTGAAGAAAGCAGATGGTTAATTTTGGTTTTAAACTATTCTTTATGGTCAGAGCATGACAAACACTTGCCAAAGAGCTGATCTCTTAACAAATCTGGGGTAGACCATTCAAAGCAGTTGTGATAAAATGTTTTTTTCAACAAATATGGATGAGTAAAATTAAGTAAAATCTTAATAGAAAATTTGCTTCATGATTCAAATTAATTACATCAAACATTTATTGAATATTTGTTTTATTGTTATTGAGGAAAATGATATTGCAATAATTATCTGTATTGTTTTATTGCCCAGCCCTACAGTCAATATTTAGGTACAGTATTTTATGTGCATCCCTGTAGCTCTCTTTTCTTTCTTTGGCATATAAACTCTCAACTTTCAAAATCACACCTTTGCTTCCCTCCCATACTTTCTCACCGCAACTAACTGGTCAACCAAGTCAGCTGTTTCTCACAAGACCTGGAAGCTCCTGGGGGGAACCCTTCTGAAGAGCTTGCATGGGATCACCCACCTGACGGCCACGTTGTTGTTGAAATAAAGAATTCTTACAGTTTAAACTGCTGTAATCTTTTAACTGTGTGAAAGTGTGATCCCTTTATATGAACAATAGCATAACCCTCTGACTCTACGTGTCACGGCAGGTGGTGTTGCTGCATAGCCAACCGTGTGCAGTCCTCCTCCATAGTAGTTGGTCATCAGGACAGGATGTGTTGACGGAATAGTTAGATAACATTATCTGCCTCACTCTGCAATGAATCTTGCTGTCTTTTACACCCAGATCTTCACCTCAAAGTGTACCTGAGGTCTGCTGTGCTGCTCCCCTGAGCTGTGTTGTTGAATGGAAAAAAACCTTGCCAGCAAGTTATTCATACATACATACATACAAGGCACATCTTGTATTTTTTATTCTTACTTTTGTGTTGATTTTAGTATTAGTATTGTATTAAAAAGTTAACATACTGTGAAGCAAAGGCTGTACTGTATGGAGCGTTAAATACATCCAGAAACAAATGGTGGATGATGGATTACTGTAACTGGGAACCTTCAATGGCTGTAATTTTTCCACATTTTGCACTTGCCAAAACAAATGTTTACGAAACATAATCAGATCAAAGTAGAAGTGAAGTTAAAAATCTGTTTGGCAGTTGATCAGAATTTTTGTCTATGGCCAAGTTTTCTCAGTTTCCAAAAGTATCTGTCTGGTTCAGACATTGAGCAAATGAACAGAATAATAAGACTTGCTGCTCACAGCCTGAAAGTGTCTCCAGTCTGTCTGACGGTGAATGTAAACATGCAGTCTCCACTCAAATCAGGAACCTCTTGCTATAAGATGACAATGTTAACTACGGCGCCATTGTGCCAATTTTTACTGAATGTTTCTCAGGCATTTACCAAATGTAGCTGTTTATCCAGTGTATATTATGGTCAACATAACATGAGTGTACAATTAGAAATTCTGTCATTTTCAGCCCAGTATCACTATGAAACGTGTCCATATTGGATGATTCTGCACCTCAAGATTCATGTTCAATACCAACATTCATTGCCAATCTAGGACATGGTGTATCCTACATGAAGGCATCACAGGCCTGCAATTAGCTCACATCTGGTGGAGAGCCTGAAACAACATCATCACTGTGCGACCATAAGCGTAGCCAGAAATATACATTTAGGGGGCCTGTGAGATTTAATGTGTGCGAGAACCTCTGCAAAGTGTATTTGCATACTATAATTTTTACATCAGATTTTCTAATAACAAGGGGAACCTCACAACCATAAGTTTTTTTTAAGCTAAGCCTATAAGCTGCTTGCACAATGCCACTACATGGCAAACCAAACAAAATAAACTGACAGTGTGCTACTTACATAGCAATGTAAGCATCAGGTATCTGACAATACAGCAAAGTGTGTCATTAAATTCAAAATCCCTCAATTGAAAACCCAATAGGCTTTACAGGTCCCGTTTCAAAAATGACTGTTACCATCAAAAACCACAATTGACATGAAAAGCACATTAGTGTGACCATGTGTGTCAGCAAACTATAAAGGAGTAAAGAAGCTACCATACTATCACAGTTTAAAACATGTGACAGCATGTCAGCTGAAAGCATGTGGGCGGGGAACAGGGAGTGCACATTGCTATTTATTTACAATATTTTGTTTTAACACACACAAAAAAAACCCCTTTCCCTCCCACCTCCTAAACAATGAAGAATCTCACTTGGTTGTCCCTCCCGGTTCCCTTACAGCCAAGATGGCTGCGGAGATAACAAAATTAGGCATTTTTTTAAATCTTGTATTGTGCTTAACATTTTAGTGGATCATAAAATATCAGGTAAAGAATTAATCTGCAGATACTCCGGTTTAAGATGACACCTAACTTTTCTATGGCTGTCAGTTTTTGAGCATTGACAAAAGGCCAAAATGTGGCCTGCAGCAGACAGTAAGCATTGTTTTTAGCCTAGCCAATTGCCATACCATCGGAAATGCCTTTTGCTATGTTGGAACCCATATTGTAAAATGGTAAATACTGCTGAAAAGACGAAAGTCTAAGCTTGACAATAGTCTCAATCATAAACAGCAAGAGAGCTTTGTTTTGACATATTTGAGTTTTTGCCATTTCTCTGTATTTTTTAAAGCTACTATGCATCAAAACAACATATTGAGACTGTTGTTTTAAAGTGAATTCTAGATGGCAATGCTAGGACTAGGTTTTCAGATATTATGAATACTTTCCCTTCCATCTGATGCTTGCTCAGTTGATGATCTTGTGCATGATTATAATAATAAATTGAGGTCTTCTTCTCTAGTAAACAAGTAGCCCACCAATTACCTTGGGGAACTGCTGCTATTCGTCACCTAAAAGGAAACCGTCGCAGGGCGGAGAGACTGGGGAGGAAAAGAAAAAATTAAATGTTCAATTTGACATTTTAAAGTTTCAAATGAGAATTTACAATAATGTTGTCAGAAAAGATAAACAAACTAACTTCATAAAGATCATTACTGAAAGCTAACACAACCCCAAAGTCCTCTTCTCCACAAATCAACACTCTCGAACCATCTCAAGTCTCAGTTCCCAAATGTCAAGAATTTTCAAAGAACAAATTGACACCATTAGAACCAGTATTAGAAATACAGATTCATCAAGTCTTTGTGATCTACTGGTGGTGAGCCTCCACCTACTATGACATTCTATAGTATGACAACAAATTGGTATCACCATCAACAAAATGAAGTCATGCACATGTGCACCAGACCCCATTCTTACCAAACAGTTTAAATCCAGCTTCCAGTGCATCTCTCATGAAACAACAAGAATAATCTCTGCAATTAGGTACTTTCCCTTCTGCTCTTAAATCTGCTCCTTAAATTAGTGACTGTGCCAATTATAGGCCTATCTCAAATCTTCCTGAACGTCTTGAGAAGATAGTATTTGACCAATTACAAGCTCATCTGAATTCCAATAATATATTAGATTGTGGTTTGACTTTCAAACCAACCATGGCACTGAAACTGCTTGATTAAATGAAGTAAATCTGAACCTGTTTTCATTCCACCAAGTTGTCACAGCCCTGTGCATATTTCCAGCCCATTTAAATCCCACATCAATTCATAAGAGTTTGATTTGTGTTATGGTTTTGGTTCAACGACAGGTTCACAATTTTTCAAGCATGTCTTAAAACAACAGTCAGGTGCCCATGTCAACATTGAAAGACTTTTTTCTCTCTGTAATCATCCCTCCTTTTCAAACTCTTCTTTAAGAGATCCGTTCCTAATGTGTTTACATTGTAATAAAAATACATTCCCGACTTTATCTGATATGCTAAAGTGAAGCTTCAGCAGTCTGAGCATATTGAGAAGGGATCTCTTAAGAGCCAGTATAAACAGGAGGAATGCTTACCGCAACCAAGAGCTGTTTTAATATACATATGGGTCATGTGAACACATCATTAATTAAATGGAATTGTGTTCAAATGCCAGATCTTTGCATCAGTCTGCATTTTGTTTGGCTGTGAATTCAGTCCGATTAACAACATTCGTCCTCTGCAAATATTGAAGTTGAGGTAGGAAACCTAGTCCAGATGACGTGTACTGTAAGTGTAGGCACAGACTCAGGGTAGTGGAGGTGGTCAGGGGGTGGAATCAAACTGAAAGTCTTTAGGGA